GAGTTAGGTGTAATTTCTCATGGTCTCCTCCGCTCTCGGCACGGGTCCTTGTGGCAGGGTGTACTGCAGATGAACCAGTCGGCACAAGTAAGCCCGAGCTGGCCTTGCTGCTGTATCATCCAGCGGTTGCTCTGGACAGTGACCTGACCCAGGCATCCAGGCCCCTGGCTCCACCTCCCTGCCTCGTCTCCCCACCAAGGGTGGGTGTTGTGCACCCTACTAATCTAAGGCTTGGGTCATCGTCCGTGTGTGTCTCTCTGCAGAAGGCCGATCTGGCGGTGGCCCCACTGACCATCACCCACGTCCGCGAGAAGGCCGTTGACTTCTCCAAGCCCTTCATGACTCTGGGCGTGAGCATCCTGTACCGCAAGCCCAACGGGACCAACCCCAGCGTCTTCTCCTTCCTCAACCCCCTGTCGCCAGACATATGGATGTACGTGCTCCTGGCCTACCTGGGTGTCAGCTGTGTCCTCTTTGTCATCGCCAGGTAAGGGCAATGCGCGGTGGCAGGTCTGGCGTGGGGTTGAGCCCTGACGAAGCCAGACGAGTCTCCACACCCCGGGCACCGGCAGGAAGAGCTTATGACTGAAATCCTTCTCAGTTTGGTGTGCCCCGTCCTCATCCTGGTCCGTCTCCATAGTTCTGAGAGGTAGCAGCTACCCGCCCACCTCCCCCCCACCCCCGCCTCCACAGGGCTCAGTAGCAGGTCCGGAGAGGTTTAGTCTTTGCCCACAGCTGCACCACCTCTGGCTGGCCACCTGGTACAGCTGACCACGGGGCATCTGGGTTCTGTTGGTGGGCCCAATGGGTGACTTAAAACCTGAAGCGCAGACTGGGTCCATCCACTCCAGGACATCGGGGGACCCCCTCGCCCTCCCCCAGCCTCCATCAGTTGCGATCAAGTCACATCTGGCTCAAGACCCCCTTTGTGCCAGAGTTGAGTTGTGTTCGGGGGGGTGGGGGTGGGGGGAGCTGATTTTCAGTAGATCTCCGGGCCTTTCTTCCGCGATACCTCTGAGTAAGCCTCAACCTTTCGGTTGGCAGCCAAGTGCGTTCACCACTCCCATCACCCACAGACTCCTCGTGGGGGTGATTGTGCCCCACGAGCACTCACGGTTACAGGACATGCAGCCAGCAGGCTCACAGCACACTCCGCGGCGGCTCACACAAAATCAGAAGAGGTCACGACACACGTTCAGTCCTTTGTGCAGTGAGTGCCTCCTGCTTGCCCAAAGAGCCCTGGTGTCAGAGTGCTGGCATGCCAGGTCAGCAGTTCAAAACTACCGGCCACTCCTCAGGGAAAAGTTGAGACTTTCTACTCCCAGTCTCAGAAACCCTTGAGCAGTCTGAGCCTGGTCCTGGAGGGGTGCTGTGAGTCTACATCGACTCGATGGCACGAGTTTGGGTCCGCGCTCACCAAGCTCTGTGCCCTGCCCATCACAGCCATCCGCTCATTTACCCTCACAACCTTCCTGGAGAGGCAGGGCCTAAGACGAAGAAAGCCTTGTGAAGGTCATTAAAGCAGGAGGGCAAGTCCAGCACCTGAACGCAGGTCGCCTAGTGCTGTAACTGTGGCCCGAGTCTCTGGCCACCTGGACGTCTGCCTTCTGTCCCTAACCCTGGCCTCATGTCAGTGCTTGTTTGGGTCAGCTGTGTCCCCTGCCCCGTGTCCCCCCAGGCTCCAAGCCCAGCCCCAGCCCCTGCCCTGGCTCCTTTTCCCCTCTAAGTCCTAATGAGATGCCAAGAGAGACTTCTCTGGGGAGGCAATTTGAGATCCAAGGACTTGGTATTTCTGCCTTTTTTTCCCCCCTTTTGTCCCGAGCCACCTTTGAAAGGCTTTTCCTTAGCCAGCTGCCTTTAGCGCCCTCCTCTCACCACAGGGAGACTGAAGGGAAAGATGTGAGGGATGAAATTGCCCTG